GCAGCAGCTCACTCCAGAGGGCAGCAACTATTCACCTCAGAGGGCAGCAACTAACCACAGACGGCAACAATTAACTAACCACAGAGGGTAACAGCTCACCCAAAGGGCAGCAACTCACCATAGAGGGCAGCAAACATACCTCATAATCAAAGTCACCTACATCTTCTATGACATCACTGGATTTCACATTCTGCTGTGAAATACAATATGCAAATGTTGTCATTGATTTAAATGCTCCCTAAACATCAGCAATTTGCTGGTATATTTTTTTCAATTTATTTATTTACTCATTTCAGACAAAAGGCCTATTAAAGTGTTTTCTGTTAAATTTACTGTTTTACACCCAAATAATTAGAAAAGTGAACTAGTTACCATTATGACAAAATGTCCTAAACTGACAATGAACCCCTGATGTTCAAACTGGCAGGTATTTTTGGAATTTTGCAATCAATTTTGAGCTAAAAATTAGGGTATCTATGGCTGTGCCAATTATAAACAAGAATTGCATGATTTCAACAGTAACCTCTAGCAACAAACAAACAAACAAGAATGAAGTAATACCGTACTGCCCCGAGTATAAGCCCACCCCTCTGTTTTTAGACATTTAACAGGTTGAGGGCATCCCCGAATAAAGGCCCAGGGTGTTTTTCCCAGGTGTCGACGACATTTATTAAAATATGCATGTAAAAATTGTATTTCATTGCATAATAATCATGAGTGGTACGATAGTTTGGTTCCTGCTTTTATGAAAAAACTCGCATTAATTTCAGGCCAGCGAATGTACGGAACATGGTTCGCACCTTTTTTATTCTGTTATTTACTCAGGATGAACCCCAATGTTGATATACTGAAGTAATCCATATTTCCCGAGTAGTAGTTATGGAAACGCCAAAAATTTGATCGTGAAACCTGGTCATTGAACATTGTTTTACTTTTCCAAATAATCGTGTCTATTGAGACTTTCGTGAATGGGATGTGATCGAGCCAACTATTCTTTGACATGACTGGCGACCGTGAAAAGTTTAAATCCTTCCCCCACCCTCAATTTACCTTTCAAAAATTGCGAATCAACAGCATTAGGGGAAAAAAATCACCGTTTTTTGCCAAAATCAGATCGCATTTTAACAACGCGATAATTCACTTCCACATTGCGTTAAAAAAATTACTTCGTCAATAATCGGAAAACTTCGTCTGTACAACACAACATTTTGATTGGTTAACGAAAGACGTGACCTGTTAGGTCAAAGGAAGTTTTTCAGGTCAAGTCATGATGCAAAACACCATGGGGGAAATTGCTTTGTATCAAGAGCTTGCGTACGATCCAAAACATTCCACAAAGATGATAATGATAAAGAATTTGCCTTTGACTGTTTTCCCACAGACCTTACCCATTTTTGCACTGTAAATTCAGACAGTATGTAAATCATATTGTAATAAAATGTGTGTATTTTTATGAAAATGTTTGTTTCTTTATTGTAAAAAGTGTTGTAGAAATCAAAAAGATGTAATATTTCTCCGAGACCGGCACTGTGAACGAAAAATGTAATTTTGATAATTTGTCGTGGTTGGGAAGATGGTTACAATTTTACCCTCCCCCCCAAATTATCTTTTCTGAGGTGGTCCTGAGTATACACCCACCCCCTAATTTTCTTGATTTTACATGGTTTTTAAGTAATGTAATAAAGTGCAAGGCAAAAGTTTCATATCACAAAATCTCTATAAACACTCATATCAGTTTCCATGGGAACAAGATATTTTTCCAATAGATCTGGTATCGCATATGATCATAGTAATCAATGAACATGAAATTATAAGCTATTCATAAAATATGAGGTCAGGGTTATTTGATCATAGTCGGATGTATCAATTTGGTTTATTTCCAGCATGTAGTGCGCCCTCTTCAGCTCAACTCTCAACAGCTCAACAGTGACCTACCTGCTGCGTAGGTAATCCATTGCTATGGGAACTATCGTTGTTCTGTTTATTCTACAAAAGTGAGAAAAAAACATTAATAAACATAGAACAACAATTTTAACCTTCTCAATAGTAAAATCTGATAAATCTGGTGATTTTGGTTTAAAGGCGGTGGTTGTCACACATGCACGCATGCACGCATGTGTGACTTTTGTTTTGATAAACATTGATTTTCCCAAGTATGAGTCACTACCTGGGCATGACATGCACTTATTATCACTTGTGACTGCTTTAATACATTCTAATCAACAAAGCAATTACTTAGTTAAAACATGGTAATGTCTCAGTTTGACTCGTTTGTCTGCACAACAGTCAAAGGCGCCATCATTGTTCATAAGAACTCCATATCTCGTGTATGCGTGACATGACAACCAATGCCTTTTAATGTCACAATGCCAGCAAACCACGAAATGTTGATAATTATCTCACTATTCATAATTTGCAAAAAATGAATTAATTACACAGCATAAAGAATGTGTAATCTTTTCA